ATAATTATTATGCTTCATTCTGACCTACACTGTGAAATATATATGCTTTCTAGTTTTGTTGCTCATTCAATAGTTAGAGTAGAAGCAGATGCTGTGGAGATATTTAATTGTAAAGTAATTGCTCAAGCAAGCTTGTGATCATGTTTCTCAGCTACTTGATCTTGTTCTTCAAATATGGATTTATTTAGTCACTAATGTTTACTGTGTTCAAAGCCTACTGTTAGTAATGTTTGGCAGACTTTCTGATTTTGATGGCAAAACCCATCTTGACTGTTTAATTGCCTTACTTTCAACAAGAAAATTATCTGTTATCTAAATGACACGTGTGACACATGGGGCCATGCACAAAAGGTGGTTATCTTGCTGGCTGCTGCTGGGAGTCAGACTTTAAGAACCCAGTCCTGTGAAGTCCTCATCCACTGAGCATTTGTGGGAAGCCAGGGCAGTCAGCGTCTCGTGGCACTGCCATGGAGAGGAAGGAATGAGCGTTGTGGAAGTTTTCTCGCAGGTTACCTGCAGTCAGCCCGCTCTTCTGTTCCGACTTGCACAAACCTCACTGTTATAATCCTGATTCTTTCTTGACATCCTGCCAATCATTCCAGCTTGTGAGGTGATTGCGATGCTGGCAGGTATCCAGACATAGAAATCAAGACGTAAGTTTCTGTTTAATGCTTTCTGAGAAAGAAAAAAAAAATAATAAAAAAAAAAAGTTTTATGCAATTGACTGCTCAAGTCAACTGAACTTACTGTACAAAGTATCTTGGCAAACAAACAAAGGAGAGAAACAGCTTAAGGTAGCATTACTGCATTCAAGCAATCTGGGCATTTTCCTGGCTTAACTGGTTAGGTTGTTTGCAGTTGCATGTAATTACTCAGGCTGTAGAAGCTCATTTTGTCAGACACAGATGACTTTCTTAGTTCCTACAAAGAGAATGCAAAATGAGAAAACGAAGAATTTAATAGCCCTTTGTCATTGCTCTATCTGACACTGTATTATTTGGTATGCTCTGATTTAGAGGTAGGCAACTGGAACCAAATAAAAGACAGAATGGATCAGAATGGATCATTCTGTACAGACAATTAATTTACATTCCAGAGATTGATAGCTGTTTACTTTTTGAGATGTAGGAGAGCTGACTGTTTGTTAGAACAGTTCTGGGGAGATATGTGTCTTAAACTAAAACTTAAAGGTTCTTTTTTCAGTGAGACTGCTGGTCTGGGAAGACAAGCTTCCTTGGCAGCTCTTTTTCTGTTACTTTTTCATTCGTTTCCTCATCTCTGTTTTGTTTCAGTTTTTTTCCTGTAAGGTGTTAAATAGCACATTACCTATTCTCTTACATTAACATTTAGTTAACTAAGATTTCTTTTTCCAAAGTTGCATAATTAGGGAGTTTTGGTGTGGTTTTTTGTGTTGTTTTATTTTTTTTTAATCTGGCAACTGTAAATTGACAGAATGGTTTTGAATGGTTCTCAGTGCAAGCACTTTTGTGGACTATGATAATCTTGTGGGCTAGCTGTGAATTTGGCACTTTGGCAGACTCCCAGCTTACCTTTTAACCTCCCATCTGTACTTTAATGGGAGTCATGCTGCTGTTGTTTTAGCCTCTTCCAAATTTATTTTGAAACTTTGGTGCCTTTGTATTTGCGATAATAAAAATCTGCTGGTATTAAATTCCATTATTGCATGAGTAATTAAGCTGATGTCCTCAGTGCCTCCAATACGGTTTTGCAGAGGTTTATAGGCTTCACTCCTTTGTTTTGGCTTGATCTAGTGGTCCCATATGTTTTTCTTCTGTCAAGTAGGATTATAGTTTCGTAAATGGTAAAAAAGTTGTGTTGACTTGTGCTTTTACAGGTAGGCTTAAAATTTCACTGTTGGTCTTTACAGGTAGTCAGAATTCAATATTTAGACTCATCATGTTTTTCTTCTTCCTCAGTTTGTTCATTCTCTTTTTCCACTGTCAAGTTTGTTTTTTATTGCTAATTTCTGTGTCTTATACAAATCTTCAAGGAAATAAAGTCAATGTGAGTATCCTATCGTTCTCCATTATGCGGTGGCTTGCTCTTAGTGTTTTATTACTGTTGAGATTTCTCTTAGCTTAGGAGATTCTTGGGTTGCCAACTGTATCTCCATTCAACTGCATGGCTAGAATATGGGTGGCATTAGAGGAAACTTAAACAATTTTAGGTGCTAACAACTTCAGTGTGTCACCTGCCTGCACTGGGAAATCCTTCTTCTGGGATCAGAGTTAAGATAACATATGAGTCTTCTGATGATCACTAACTGCTCCAAATTAAGATGGATCCAGTTTTCTGAGCAGCCTCTTGAATTTCATCAGTTCCTATCATAATTATTTGTATTATGACTTTCTTCCTAACAGTCTGTTGTGATGGTGGCTGGAAGTGGTTCCTGGATTACATCAAATATAATTATACTTTGATTTCTTTGTCTGAACATCTTGACTTTTTGAAATAAAGCTTTTATTCTTCCTTAGCTTAGGAACATAGGAACATCCAAGATAACACTGCATTTGGAGGGTTAAAAGCTGTAGCTACAAGCTCCTTCTCCCATTTGCAAGAGCGTTATCCTGTTATTGTACTTGATCGCATTCTACTTGATGACATTATAGTCTTGTCTTAATGAAAGTCTTTTGATTGTAACACTTGTAATTCACTGAAAGAGCAGTGTTGGGAAGGCATATAATTTTTGGAGCGGGGAGCTTTATTTTGTTTATTTGACTTCGTTGGGGGGCACAGAGCTTTGGATGTCTGTTTACCCTTGCATGATGTTGGACAATTCTTGCAAATCCCTTTCCAGCGATAGGAAGAGGTAGTTATTTGAGGGGTTAAATGGTTGGATGTAGGGGGTTATGTTGTAGCCAGCTGGATCTTGGGTTGTTTAGGAACTTATAAAAAGGATGACCTTAAGGAATGACAAAATATGTCGTTTGCTCCAAGGGGCCTTATGTGAGTGAGCAGCTGAGGACCTACAAGAGCAGTGTAACTGATCTGGAGATAGCAAAGTCTGGTGTAGGGCATATTGGTTGCAGTGAACGTTTCTACAGCCAGTGTATACTTTGGCTACATAAACCAGAGCTGATAAAGCTAGTTTATGGGGGACACAGTGGATTTACTGTTAGTGAGGTAAAACTGACTTTGTTTTGCCATGTCAGACTTCTTGTACATGCACAAACCACTTTGTAACGTGTACACAGCACAACTGATCTCTACATGCACAGTACGTCCTCCAGTGTTTCCAAGAAGTGTCTGATTTACTGCACAGATGTACAATGATTATGCAGACCTTGAGCAGAAAGTCCACTGTGTCCCAGAAATACCTGATTTTTATGCTGTCCCGTGTACATGCTTGGGAAATATGTTAGATGCAGGTGGGCCAGCACATTTGAACATTTTGAACGAGTGTCAAAAGAATAAAATTCACCTAGTGAAATTGGAGTGATAGGGAGAAAAGAAATCCCAGCATACTGTAGCCATGGACATGTCCCTAAAAACTCTTAACATAATGTAGCCTTGGAAGGGTTGTTTAATCATTTAATGTGTGTGAATGCTTCCACCACATTATGGTGCCTGTGATTCTAAGGTCTGGGGGCTGATAGGGAGACATTTCTCTGGCTAAACTCCTCAGAATAAGGTGAAGACTTTTCATCCCTCACTCAGGTGGAATTTGTTGGCATAATGGATTTTTGCAACAAAACCTGTATATTTTCGTAGTCTTTTGAATTGAAATTTGTTTACAGAGGCTGGCATGGGATTTTATTCCTCTGTCCGATTTAGAACTTGCCTGCACACACTTTTTTCTCTTTCTCATCAACTCCGCCTATGGAAATTTTTCTAATTCTTCTAGGAAAAAGGTTTTGATCAAAAAGTGTCCACACAGAGTCACCTAAGGACATGAGGTCTGCTTTTGTTTCTCACCTCTGTATGGACTCGTACATACAATGCCTTTATTTATTACTATATATTTTTAATACATAGCAGAGGTACCTAAAGCCTAGACAGAAGGATAAAAATAAAATGGTCCATGCAATATAAGGGGGGGGGGCAGTTGCCTTTTTTTTAATGTTCGGTTTATTATTTATACATTATAAAATGTTTTTAATTGTGGGGCTTTATTCATGCACGTGAGGGTTATTTTATGCATTGACTTTCTAGATCCTTTTATAGTTTAGTCTAAGGCAAGTGGCAGGTAAGTTAAATGGTACCTAACGTGCATTGTGTTGGAAAATGCGATAACCATCAATGGTATATTTAGAAAATGTGCAGAGGGCAAGACAGGAAAAGTGGATATCCCTTTCTCAACCTGTTTTTGACCTCACACGATTTAATAACCAAAGAATTGTGTGGTTTTGACACAAAGACATTTGTACAAGTAGTCAGAGACAGCTGCTAAGATGCGTTGTTTAACGGTGAATGCAAATTATTCCTGTGAGATTGTTTTTGAGCAGGTTTAAACTGCAGAAAATAATGCTTCCAAAGCATTGGGTTTTATCCTTCTCATTGCAATCTGAACTTTGAATTGCTAATATCCATTAAGAATCCAATTCAAAATAATCCGATTTTGAAAGTACCTTTTAATTCCACCCAGACAATAGAGTATGGGTAAATTGGTAGTCCTTACTTTGTGCTAATGCAAAAATGGAGAGCGGCTTGATTAGACATTGTAGACCTATAGTTCAAATAAACAAAATGTTAGATTTGTAGCAAACAAGACCGAGATCTTTTCCAAACGTTTCTGATTCTGTCTTGAATACAGCTGTGTTTTCATGCAGCTAAATGCTTGTCATTGCCTACTTCCTTATTGCCTTTAACCAGCTCTATTTAGTGACTGCTACCAACTCTTCACGCACACATGTGAAGGACAGCTTCTCAGTGGTGTTTGTGAAACCATCTATTTACCATATTCTGTAGTTTATGATGAAATTCAAGAGCACATGATAAAAGTTTGAGAGTTGTTTTAATTTGGGGCCTTTTTATTTCAGGGACCTGAAACTGGACAATATTCTTCTGGATGCAGAAGGCCACTGTAAACTGGCTGACTTTGGCATGTGCAAAGAAGGGATTTTGAATGGAGTTACCACCACAACCTTTTGTGGCACACCTGACTATATAGCTCCAGAGGTATTTTTTTGAATTGCACTAAGAATACAGATGTTATCATTCATCAGACTGTTAAATGTGTAGTTTTAGACATTTCTTACATGTAGATGAAAAAAGTAGAAGATGCAGACTAGACTGTGCCACAGTCTTTCCTGGGTGATCTTGCAGAAATCAGTTGCTCTGCTGCTTACAAGCAGTAGTCCATGTTGATAGGAGTGACAAAGCATGTTTCTTCTGTTATTTGTTCTCTGAACTTAACTGTATTCTACTCCATACGCTCATTTCTGACCCAGCATCATTGTGAAGGCACTTACTAGCCTTTAAGGTGCTAGATGCAACTATGTACTGCCAGCGCTGATTTTTAGTAGTTATAAAAAAGTTTTCAATTTTTCATGAGACTTAGAAGGGTACGTTTATATGGAAGAGACCATACATTTGGTGTCATTGTGCCTAGGGTCTTTGTGGGAATATATTTTTTTCTTTTCTTTAAAGTATCCATGAGTGAAAGATACTATGTTTGTAGTACTTCTGATCATATGGATGAACAGAAAGTATAGACTTGCATAGAAAATTCAGAACTTTTCGTATGGATGCTGCATATCAGTTGGCAAGATCCAAAGTAATTTCAAGGCCTTCACTGGATAAAGCAAACGACTGAGATTAATGCTTATTTTACGTATCCTAAATTTTAATGAAATGCATTTCCAAATGCCTAAAATGAACCAATATTGTACGGTTAGTCTGCTAGGCAGACTTTGTCTGCTCAGTTTAGTTAGTAACCTGTGCATCCTTCCACTGAAGATTCAGTGTGCTGATTTAATGTAAAAGTTTCATTGTTATCTTGAAAGAGTTGTCTTTCATCAACCATAAATTTGCAGCAGGGAAAAATGTTAGTTTATTATTTGTTAGGGACAGTAAGTTAGAAATCCATATTGTTACTATTCATGGCTGTCAAGCTTTGGTAGCACAACTGACAAGGTGTGAATCACCTTGAAACTATCATAATATAGATGTTTTATGCTTTATGAAGTTTGAAAAGTATTCTGGCAGTAAAAGAAAATAAATGCCAGTGTGATGGTTTGTATGAATTCTTTTCTGATTCAGTATACTAATTGATTCCTTTTGCAAATTCTTTGAAAATTCTTACTGAAGACAAAGCAATAATAAATCCCAGAAACTTTTACATGAAATCTTGATCTCACTGAATTCAGTAACTCAGGCTTCCATTTTGTCATCTTAATTGCAGAAGTTTATCTCCTGCTTCTATTTCTCTTGCATCATGGCGGTATGTTTCCATTTCCTTTTCTTTAGCAATATCTGAGTTCCAAAGAGTGCACTTTTCAAGACTATCATTTTCTGTAGTTAATGTCAATATAATGTAATATCCATTCAACTAAGAATCCAGTTGGGATCCAGACCTCTGTATTCAAATGTTAAACTCATTTTTGTTTTTACGTTAAAATTGAATTTGGTTTTATATTGGATGTGATTCCCAAATACAGCACCAAGCTAACATGGTTCACCACAATGCTTCTGGCTGTAACCCTAGTGTTGTTTAAGGATGCGGTGGAGTTGTTCCCGTTGCTACTCAATTTAAGGCAGTCGACTTCACCTTAAGCAGTCATCCACTCTACTTTCCCCAGTCCCCTGTCATGCTGAAACATTGCAGCCAAACTACAAGCTTCTTTTCGGTGGAGAAGAGCCAAGAATTAAGCTTGTTCCTTGTAAAACACTGGTTCTGTAAGACCAAGTACAATACAATAAAACTCCATCACTCTAACCTACTACTCTCCGCTAAAAGTATTTGCTACAAGGTTGAACTTGTGGCACCTGAAAAGTTGTGGCCAGTTTTTCTGAAAGCAGAGGCAATTAAAGTGAGTCCTACAGCCATGTATTGTACAGTGTTTTAATGCTGTAAAAAGAACTTGAACAAAAATGCTTTTGGCTTCCTTCAGCCCTACCTAAAGGACCAGAATAAATCTCTCGGATGATTGCAGCATTACAAGCTGGTTCAGTTTGTTTTGTTCAAGATAGAGACAAGGAAATGTTTCACATTTTCCACCAATCTGTTTTGTATATGTGATCTTTTTTCCCCCTATAGCGTGACCTGCTTTAAACAGTTTGGAAGGATATACAGCTCTCTTGCTCACGAGCATACTCTTTTACTCAGGGGACTGATAAACTCAGTCAGTACTTCTGAGAATAACTACGCATTGACACTTAGCTGTGTTTAGCTGTGTTAGTGCAAATTGCATGGGTAAGAAACTATGCCTGCTGTTATCGAAATCAGCGTGGGATTTAGTGCTACTCAGGCACTGGGGGAAAGAAGGGGTGTATCATGTCAAAACAGCAAATGTGCAGCCGACAGTGTTGTCTAACTTGCCTATTCAATCCAATATCTTTTTCTATACTAGATTCTCCAGGAGTTAGAATACGGCCCATCAGTAGACTGGTGGGCTCTGGGTGTTCTCATGTACGAAATGATGGCTGGGCAACCACCCTTTGAAGCTGACAATGAAGATGATCTTTTTGAATCCATCCTTCACGACGATGTCTTGTATCCAGTCTGGCTCAGTAAAGAAGCTGTCAGCATTTTAAAAGCAGTGAGTCTTCCACTACTTGCTTTCCTCCTCCTCTTCATGATTTTTGGGGGGATTGGTTTGTGTTTTGTTTTTTTCCCTTGATTAAAATTGAATTTGTTGAAAGTTGTTGAGAGCAGTCACCGCTGGGAGTTCAAGCACAGTTCAGAGTGCCACCGTTAGGATAATGGGGCCTGGGATAAATTACACTGCTTGTGGGAAAGGAACAGAATGTTTGTATTCCACGCAGTTGTACCCTGTATAAATCTGTGTACTGCAGATTCATGTTTCAGGGAAAACGCAACCAACTAGAACTGTGCTATCACTTTGACACTTTATATGCCGCATGTTCACTAGAGTGGGGGAAGCACTGCGTAATTAAAGACACGATATTTTTATTTAACCCACTTATAAAATTTCCTGTCCCTCTGCCTTTCTTCTCCTATCATCAAGATGGGTTGAAAGCCCTTTACTTACAGCTGCATGTCCTATTTTATAGTTCACATAACACTTTGATAAGCAGTCTTACTCTCACGTAATTTTTTCTGCCGTGGTTGGTGTTTTTCAATATAAGTAGTGACATGACAGAAATGTGTGTCACCAGATGCTACCATTTTTTTAATCAGTCAAAACGTGCCAATGGGCAAGTTCACTTTTTAGACTACCTTCCTGACGTCATGTTTACTTCATTAACGTAACATTGCCATAAATTCTTTCTTCTGTGCTCATGTCATCCTAAAATAAAAAGAAAAACACAACAGAAGCAGTATGCCAGTCCCCATAGTTTGAAAACCTGAGGAGAATTTCTGGCTTAAAAAAATAACTTATTTTTTATTCCATTTTTCCACCTTCTTTGAAAGTGGAAAATTTCTGCCTTTCCACATCTATTTTCTTTCAGCATCTGGAATAAGGGAGACTTTCAGTTAAAAAGGCAGCAGTGTGAAGTTCTGCAGAGATCTTCATACAGGGTTACATTTTGAAATTATATCTAAAACTTGAACAAATTCTGATTTTAACACCAGTGGACCGCTAACACATTCTGCAGAAGTGCTCATCTTGATCTTTTAATTAAAATCTCTCCAGGATCATTCTAGCTGAGAAAGAGAAATGCTCTAGCAGATGATTCAAAGCAGAAGTCAAAATTAACCTCTCTGAATTTTTTGCAGTAGTCTCTTTTGCTCCATTCACTGTAGTGAGAACATGGAGGATTGATTAAAGCTGACCTTTATACATATTCTCCCTTCTCCCCCCAGATAGCTCTCTGATGACTTTTTATTAGCTGTCATGATGCTTTCATGCTTCCGGTTTTGTTTCCAGACCCTTCAATTATTTTCAGTTCACCAATTAAAATGTATGGACTTGAGCTGCAAGAATTCAGGCTGATATCCAGGGTTCGAGGGTTATTTTGGTGAATTGTAGAGAAAGGGTTGTTGTCAATGTTCATATCTGCATCTGAATTTCACTGAAGTCCAGGAGATTTTCTGTAGTGTTTTGGTTTCACGGTCTGTAAGATCTGTTCATTTGCCATCCACAGGGTCCTTCTGTGAATCCACATTAACTGACCTTTCTATTATTCTCAATCATGGAAACATTTGTTGGAGGGGAAAAGTTAACCGATAACCCTTGGTGAAGTATGTAGGACGAGAGCCATTGTAACTATCAGGAGAAGGTATTTGTTTTACAGAGGAAAGGGAGAAACAGATTTGACAGTCAAAAGCCTTATGGTGTTATCTCATTGGTGGTGCAAGTAGTGAGATGCCTGTTAATGTTATACATGTCATTCATTAATCACATACAAATGCAGACGCAGAATTGGGCTGCAGTTGTAAACTATGTATTTTTGTGAATGTAAGTGCAAGGGTGTTAAACTCACTAATTTCTTTTAAAGCTGGCTTTGCTATAAATTTTCATGAGGCTGTTTTCCTGGGTCTACATTTTGATAGTAGGCACGGTAGTTTGTATTTTGCTGTAGTTGTAGCTTTTTTTTCTTTTACACCATTCTGTCTAATGCCATTATAAACCTTAAAAAGAGAGTTGCATCCATTAAATAGATTTGCACTATAATAACAGATTATTCCTCATTGGTCAAGATGTCTTCATTGGCATAAATTTATATAATTTAGTAGAGCTGTGCCAGTTTACACCATAAAAAAAAACCACGTTTCCTTACATTTAGCAACCTGCTGCCTGTGCAGCTATGGTATGAAACATGTTTGAAACTTGTATTCTTCATCTGATCCTTGTCCATATTCTGTTAAATGAAGAACAGGAAAAACAAAGGAAAGAAAGAGGCGTCTATGTGGTTTACTGCTGAATGGTAGCAAGGGATTAACTTTGGAACACTTCGTTTCCTCACATTGTGCTTTGAGACATGGGTTTTATTCTTTACAAACTGTATTTTTACACTCCTCCAAACACCATGTCAGGAAAGCTTAATAAGAAGACGTTCCCTTGTATTAAGTAAGAATGTTTCCTTATTTTCTGAAGAAACAGTTTTCCTGTTATTTCCAACAAAACACTACGGATTTTTTAAAAATTTTCAGCTCAGTATTACAAGGCAGAACGTTGCTTATCCCACGAAATCCCACAGATCTTATTAGTCCTGTTTCTGTGAATTGACAGGAATTGCTATTTAAAATTCTTTCCTGTCTGGTAAGGAAAACAATTATTCATTGAAATTAGCTCTGTACTTCTTTGCAAGCAATGGAGAGAGGTTGTTTCTACAATGTGTGTTGCCTGTGTACCAGATGACAGAAATCTCTGGGTACAGAAGCAGGACTGTTTTTAAGTTGTGCCATTTTTTTCAAGAAGCAAAATTTTAGGAGCCTGATGATCCTTGATTTGGACCCCAAGTTGCATGGCTATCTCAGCAACTTTTTGCCCTGTTGTCATTTAAGTCAGTAGGAACTCTGATCTTAAAAGCCTTCTTTTTTTTTTTATAAAAGGAGGTTCCTGCCTTAATATGGGAAAATAAAAAGGCAACACTTATGGCTGTGGCTGTCAGCTCCATTGGCAACCATCTCATTGGCACAGGACAGTTAACAGTTGTCTGTGCCCTGACAGTTGTATCATTGTTGATGTTGTTGATAAACACAGAATAAATGTCAGCTTGTGCATCAAAAATAGAAGAAGGTGAAAAAAATCAATATTTATTGCAGGGGATGAAATTTATAGAATTAAATGTCCGCTTCAGAAGTTTGATATTATTTCGTCATCTTTGCATGTGATATATTTGTTTGTTTAAGTATTCATTCTTAAAATTTGTTCTCTCTCATCATCCATTTCCAAGTTTCATGAAGTTTGTGAAGTACAGTACTAAACTACTATCTTGTCATATTTTCATGTCCTAAGCTTCTTAGAAATGACGTGTTCTGATGTTTTCCCTGCCTCTGGCTTAAAACAAAGATAGAGCGTGGCAGATACTAGGATCAGATTTTACTTCTTTGATACCTGGATTATACAGTACAAAAAGGGTATCCTGTAGTTTCCTTGTTCTGTTTCTGCAAAATGTGTTCCTGGCTGGTTCCTGGCCTGTTTGCTGCAGTCCTGGAGGTGAAATAAAGCAGAGGGTTGTAGCAGAGGGATGTAGGAATGCGTTTTGTGGTTTTCCAAGAGACCTCACCAAAGCACAGTAATCCTTTCAAAACCTTTGTTTCTCCTGCCTGTAGAAAATATGGCCTGTAGTTTAGATATGACTTGTCCACTGGCAAAAGAAGTTGCAGAACAGTTGAACACAAGACCAAAGAGAAGGATCATCTTTGGAGCAGCGCGTATATGTCAGAAACCATAGAGAGAATTGCCTCACTGATCTAAGTTATATATCTTGAAAATGATAGCAATGGTATTCTCCTGCGGATGGTTGATATAGCTATCTAAAACCATCTTAAGGGCTTCAGTAGTTACTTATCTAATAACTGGAGTTCTAAAGCAAGGGTATGCATTATAGTCATTTAATTTTTGGTAATTTTTTTTCTACAGATGTATAGTATAATGCGGTACCTAGGTTAAAAAGCCACTGAGCAATTACCACATTTTGTTTCATTTGTTCACTTCTTTAACATTTAAAAAATGTTAGAATGGCTGAATATCCCAAAAGCTTGGGATAATTCTGTAGTATGAGTGTGTGTGCGTGTATAAAAACAGCATTCATAGCTACTTGAATTGCAAGGACTCTGTGTCCACGTGTATTAGGATAAGAGCAATTGCTAATAAAAGAAGGAAGAAATAACAGAGCAAAATCAGGAAAAATATTATCACCTGCTATCATTTGGTAAGTGTCTTACACCAATTGTACAGCTTTTTGCTGAAATGAATAGTAAGAGTTTAAAAGTGAGAAGTTTGGAAATTACCACAGCAGAAGAGACCACTTAGTTCCAGTTGAGACCACTAACAGCGTACTAAAAATGAAAGGGAAGGTGCAAGTTACGTTGTGGAGTTTGTCAAGGGAAGCTTTCTTCTGGTACTGATCACTCCATGTATTTCCTGAAACATATGGACAGAACGCTTATAATTCACACAGCTTCAGGTACTGTTCTTACTTGTATTAGAATAAAATCCTAGAAATGAGTAATGAGGTTGGGGCTTTTCATGTGTCTGCTTGAATGGAGTGTATGATTATGCAACCTACGTACACAAAGAAAATAAACAACAGTAAGCATAATATGTAGCCCCTATACCCCAAATTAATAGTTAAGATAGTGCAAATAAGATAAAATAAGAGCTATCCTGACCATCTATTTGGAAGTGTCTCTGGAGGGTTTAATATTTTCTTTCTTTCCTTTAGTATTTTTGGCCAAAGCTGGAACCAGAAATGCCAAAAGAGAATCTGTTCCTGTAGAACTCCCAGCCAGATGAAATTAGGAGGTCTCAGCAATCAGTTGAAAAAGCTTCCTGCATGAAACTTGCACTTCAGAGTCTGAATCTTCTCGTTTGGCTGGAACCTCGGAAATTTGGAAGGGCATCCTTGTTGCTCTTACAAAAAAAATAACCTTCTGAAAGGGGACTGTCTCTAAAAACTAGGCATTAGGAATTGGAATGTGTAATTGAACTGTGAATGGTTTCCAGCCATTGCCATTCATGCTTTAACTCTTTCCTTCTCTCCCTTCCCCACCCTGTAGTTCATGACAAAAAACCCAAATAAGCGACTTGGCTGTGTGGCATCACAAAATGGGGAAGATGCGATTAAGCAGCATCCGTTTTTCAAGGAAATTGACTGGGTTCTTCTAGAACAAAGGAAAATCAAGCCACCCTTCAAACCTCGGATTGTAAGTAGCAACTTGCATAACATTCAGAGGAAACTTGATTTGACAATTCTAGTTGTTGTCTTTTCTAAGACGTGAGATTACTTGATGCAATATTTGAGGGTTGAAATAGTAATATAAAAAAGATTGCCTTGTCGTCGTTTCTGTGAAGGTAAGTGTCAGGAATAGATATAACGCACAGGAAGATGTTCATGTTCGGTCACATAAACCATGAGAGGGTTCGAGGCCCTGTTTTAATTATTTTCCTGTGTTCCTAAAGATACCTTGATCAGAAGAGATTATTTCAGTTGGGTATGTACTCTCTGTACTTTCTGTGTGAACTCTGCTACAGTTCTGCATTGCTGATGGCCACTGGATTTTGTAGTGGAAGACAGAGCAAAGGATTTCTGATTAATAATATTTTAACTGAAGATACTTGAAAAAACAGCTTCCTGGGGGAAAGAAATATACATCATGATTAGATAAATTGATGTACTTACATTTTCCTAGGTAATAACCAAGTATTTCTGTTTTAAAGTAACAAAAATGTGTAGCAGCCCTACATGCAGAAACTACAAAAGCCAAGCAAGAATACCTTACTTATTCTTGTTTTCCTCTGGATGAAAATATTTACAGTTCACTAAATGTCAGCTTTTCAGCTGAGAACATGTGCACTAAGTTTTGTACTTGAACAGTACGAGAGAATAATTTTACGAGAAATCCTCTGAGCTTGACTTGCATCTTTTGACTTTGCACATTCCTAATTGCAACGTTTGATTTGCCTGTAAATACGATCAAGGTACTTGTTTGTTTCTTTCTCTAGATAGTTTACAAAGGTATTTTTTAAAACAAACAAACAAAACCACACACAAAAAAAACCAACCTTTGGGCTCAACACTGAGTCCTAACTTAAATTTAGAGGTGAAAAAGTCCCCTCTGACATTGCAGAATTGCTGTCTGTCGCATTTAATGCATTTACTTTTAGTCCAGTGAGATGTATTTCCCCAAGTTCCTTGTGTAGGTGGTAAAAGCGGGGCTGCCCGTCCAGACCAGGAGCCTGAGGGATAGCTCCTCTGAGTCCACTCTTGGAGAAGTCTTTCTCTCTCTCTCTCTCTCTCTCTGTAGCTATGCAGAAAAAGCCCAAAGGGATTGACAGCTGTAAGTGAAAGTTAGCGCATGTGAATGTCTTTCTAGGATTAATAGTAAGATACAGCGTTATCACATGGGGAAGTTTTTCTAAACACATTCCTTGGAGAATGAAAACTTTGTAATGCGGTAGCTACAGGCAAGAGGGATGCCTGAGCCAGCCCATCTCCCGGGAAGGGTCCAGCCAGCTGGGCATGCCGGCTTTCTTCCCCCGCTGCCCAGCTCTGCTCTGGAGGTGTGGCCAGCTTGCACCTAGTGCCTGAGCTGACTTACAAATCTCTGCACTGCTGTAGGAAGTGTAAATTCAAATTAACCCTATTAGTATCTACCTGAAGTCTATTTAATGCTGTAACTAACTGCTTTCCAGTCAGGTTCCACAGCCCTCGGATAGTTGCAGACAGCCTTAGTTGGTGTTACGCTGAGTTGCACGTGTGTAGCTCTTTTCCCATTTTAACTAGAATTTGGCCTTTCATCTCACAGTAATTTTTGTTGCTTTGCTCAGTATTCATCAACATTTTGGTAACACAGTTATCAAATCAGGATGCACAATTCCAAGATAATTTTCGCTTTATACCTGCATCTAGTAAGTCCCAGATTCCTAACTTCTAGTCTGTTGGCTGTTTTCCTTTCACGATCAAGATGCACGGTCCCTTTGACAATAGGTATTTTTACAAGGCCTTTATTATATTTGTAAGTAAAAAAATGCTGCGGCGGTCCTTCTTAAACCTCAGGAGGGATTTAGTATGTCAGTCATTTTTATTCATTGCTGATATAATTATCTTCTACCTTCTCAGTGCAGCTTCTTTCTCCTTCTGGTAATTATTTCACTGCTGTTATACTGTAAAGCCATTCCTATTTTATCCATTCCTGTTTTGTTCCTTTTCTCCTTTTCAGCTTCCTTTAATGGTATTTTAGTTGGATATTTCAGTTTTAGTAGTGATTTCAGATTATTTCAGAGTAGTCCTTCGTATAATTTTCAAGACAGCTGCTTGCTTTTTAATAATTTTTAGAGTGATTTTATATATCTTTATTTACACCTTTTCTCATTTTTCTTCAGGCTGCTTCTATAATGTCGGATTTTCATACTACTTCTTTCCATATAGTAGATGCCAACTTACTTTATTCTACCAAATTTGATGCCTGCAGTCTAGTAGTTCTGTATGCTTGGGTTTTTCTGAACTCTTTTTTTTATGGTGGTGAATTCAGATAATATGTAGTCTTTGTTACAGGCATCCCTATTATTTTTATGTTCTCAGTCTCCTCTCTCCAAGATACCTTCCCCAATGACCTGGTCCTATCAACTTTTACTGATAACTTTTCTACACTTAGAAAGGGTATACCTTATATATTGTGGTTTGTGCT